GTGACTGGGATAATTGGGATGGGAGTGTCAGAGACAGTGCGACTGGCACAGGACAGAGCAGAGTTTAGGGCTGTTGTACACAGGGTCGCTATGAGTTACAAGCGACTTGACGGCACATAACAACAACAACAACAACAACCACCTCCTTTATATGGCAGATTTAAAATCCATGCCGCTGAAGTAGATTAAAATATTCAACTGAGGAGAGGGCAATTTACAAAGTAAATGGGCAGGGAAGCAAAGAAAAAACTGGTACATCCAACTAGGGCAATTTCCATGAGCACAGCTCAATTAATGCATGAAGCATTTCTTGGTGTTTTGACACAGGACTCATCAAAGATTATGATACCATCATTTTACTGCAAAGAGAAGTTTTAAGAGATTCGTTTTGCAAATATTTAAACCTTGTCCTATACTCTGCAAGAGAGAGAGAGCGCTCTGTTGGCCTAGTGGACAGAAAGTGATGCTACCAAGTCAAAGGTGCGTGATTTTAATCTGTGGCCCTTAGGCCTGGTTTTCATTGTTTTTGGTCAAACATTCTTCTAAGTGGCATAGCACTGGTCTGTCCATTTGCTATACAGAGGTAACTTGTGGTTGCTGTGATGCTAAACACTGTGACACTGATGCAATAATGGTTACCAATGGTGGGCAGTGTTTGGTGGAGCTCCCTGATTAAAACAAGCTTGGAAGCAGGAATGGCATCCACTTCCCAAATAGCTTGCCTCCGGGAGAAAGGGTGAAAGTTATACAACTGTTCAGGTCTTTCGTTCATAGGGTTGCTATGAGTCGTCTACAATTCGATGGCACTTAACAACAACAACAACAACATAGTATACTCTGCAAACACTTTTCAAAGAAGGGGCAAATGGTGGGCCAAGCTCTAAAGTTTTCCAGGAATGCCTCTTAGCAAACTTCTGAGGCATTTCATGGTATACGTTTTTCACTCTGAAGTTTAAGTCTGGTCCTTGGTGGAAAAGGGGAAAGAGCTATGTGTAAAAAGACCTTTAGAATATTGTTGAAATGCAAGGCAGAGTCTTCTGCTGAACATCCACAAGTGTCCTGCCAGTTTAGGGACAGAAGATGAATGCTCCAAGGCACGATCTCCCTGCCTGCCATGGCATAAAATTGCAGCTGATTTGCCCTGAAAACATGTATTCCATCCAGTACTTCCATCAGCCAGTAAAAGCAACAGTCGAAGGAGTACTTGTTATGTGCCATTTACACAGCTAAACCCTTAAAGGCTTTGCCTTTCATCGAAAGTAAATATTATTGCCCCCAGTTTACTAATGAAACTAAGACTTGAAGGGATTCTCCCAGGTGACAATGCTCTCTCGTGGCAGGGAACGAGTGAGAATTCCTGGCTGCCCGGCTGCTCAATGTGCTGAGGCTATGCGGGCTCCCTTACTTGGCATTGTTATGCTTGTCGTCTTCCGTTAGACTGCCGCTCTTCACGAGGTCATAGTTAATGCAGCCTGGCTGGATGGCATCAATTAAATCCACAACGGCCAAACTGGAGCTGATCGTCTTGTCCTAGTGGAAAGGATAACAAACATGATCAGTTTACATTTGTACCAATTAACATCACCGCTTTGATGTAAAGTTCCCAGAACAAAGCCCGGCAAATAGAGGGACTCTTGCCATTAATCTAACCATGCTTTTTGTTTTATGTGCTGGTGAGTTGGCATCAACTCATACTTGGCTGTCCTGAGGTTTCTCTGGAGCCTATAAAAGACATGGAAGGAGATGGTTCATCTTTCTTCCAAGGAGCAGCCGGCAGAATCCAACCAGCTGCCTTTAGGTTGGCAGCGTGATGCCTTTACCACTAAGCCACAGGAGCTCTCTGCCCCAACTCTACCTCTCACACCCACCACCTCTCCATCAGCGGTTCTCCCACAGTCTACGTGTCTCCCAGTAATCCTAATTCTCAACAATTAAAGAGCTTTACCTTAAAACTCTGAATGGAAGTTGATTTTCCAGCTTCTTTCAATGTTCGGTTCACCCAATTTACAATAATGTCATCATTCGCTTTCTGACCCTCTCCCAGGTCTTCTAGGACGTTGAGGGTATACCTAAGGAAAGCAGGAGGAAAAGACACAGTCTGCTTTATAGAGAGAAAAAAAAATATATAGAAAACATCATATTCCCGTCACTACTGAATCAACTCTAAGTCATGGCAATCCGTGTTAACTGCTCTCCCCAGAATTTTCTTGGCTACAACTGCTACAGAAGTTGGGTTTGAACTGCCAAACTGTTGTTGTTGTGTGCCTTTGAACCGACCCATAGCCAACCCCCTTCTAGCAGGTTTTCAGAGGCAGTAAATTGCATGGGAGGAGACTGGCCATTCTCTTGCGGATGGACGGATGTAAGCCATTGTGGCTCATGGAGGTAATCCTTACAGAACTTGGGTTTGAAGTGTCAAAGTGTAGTGGTACGCAAATCGTTCGGGTCACCCGAGGACCTATGTTTAGAATGGTGGTTTGGCATAGATTTCTTTCATTCCTTAGCTTTAAAGGGTTAAACGTTACATGGCAAAAGACTGACACCAATTTGGGAAAAAAGTGACTAGTGACTTGCCACTAATGCACTCCTTCTGTTGAAGGAAGGGAAGATAAGTAGAGCTTATTTGTCATCCTTTCTTTGTAACTTGCTTTGTTGTTGTTGAGAATATAATGCAGCAAAACTTACGCCAATTCTGTAATTTCTCCGTGTCCAATTTCGTGACACTGATTCCTTTTTTTGCCAGGCCTGACAGTGTTGACCTTGTTCTTCTAATGATTTCATGGCTTTAGTTTTCATGTTTAGATTCTTAACCCATTTTACATTTCTTTTTATGTATGGTGTGGGCCAAGGATCCTCTTTCATTTTCCTAGACATGGACATTCCATTTTCCCAGTACCATATCTTTAGTGAAGAAATGCTTCTTTCTCTAGTTGAGGACCGCGTGAAATATTAATTGACCACAGATATATGTGTGTGCTTAGTTCTGGACTGTCAATTCTATTCCAATGGTCTGTCCATTGTTGTAAAAGCTCTAGACTGTTTTGATTAATTTAGTGGCATAAATAAGTTATAAAATCAGGAGGTGTGGACACTTCCACTTTGTTCTTCTCTTTCAGCATAGGTTTTACTCTTCAGTGCTTCTTGCTTTTCCATATAGAGCTGAGGACTGCTTACATAGGGAAAAGAAGACTGCCAGACTGTTGATCTGGATTGGATTTGCTGTGCTTTAATGAGCAAGTCCATCAAGTTACTTGAAGCACATTTCGTATTCTTCCAACAGAGGTAATGACTTCAAGTAAGCTGAGGCTTGGCAGGCATTCATTCACTCATAATGAATGTTTTTCTGCATCACATTAAGAGATGTTCCATTTCTAATGGTTATTTGGGGATGTTCTCAAATCCTTTTCTGATAATTTCCTTATAAGGCTTTAATCTTTCTATCAAGATTCCTAAGGAAAATGGAATATTCATAATTCTGCCTGCCTAGCTGCTGCAGAAGGTTAAACACTGCAGCCTTCCATATGGATTGCACCTCAACAACAAGAAAAGAAAAGTCCTCGCCACTTGTCCAATAGGCAACATCATGATACATGGAAAAAAGACTGAAAACTGTCAATGACTTCATCTTACTTGGATCCACAAGTGATACACTTGGTACCAGCAGTCAGGAGATTAGGAAACATTTTATTGGGAAAGTCAGCAGTCAAGGACTGCTCCAAATTACTGAGGAGCAATGATGTTAATTTGAGGACTAAATATTCATTACATAAGTTCAATTTAGAGCCCGGGTGGCACCACGGTTGTTTCATGGCTAACTGAAAGGTCAGTGGATTGAATCTACCATCTGCTCAGTGGGTGAAAGGTGTGGCAATCTGCTTCTATGAAGATTTCAGCCTTGGAAAACCTATGGGCACAATTCTGCTTTGTCCTTCAGGGTATTCTGGGTGGATCAGCGTCAACAGTATTAGGTTATATTGGTTATACTTCAGGATAGAAACCGAATACATTTCAAAGATGTAGTCATTGATGCTTTTCATTCAGAATGATTAGATCGTGTAATAGAGATGTTTTAACAGCATACAGTGTATACTATACCTTCTCATGAGCTGCCAGACTAAGGCTAATGTCAGGGTTTGGTTTCCATCATTCAAGTCTTGCCCTCCAATTCCAACCAAGGAGAATTTGGCAGGATGCTTCCCTAACTCTACAGCATAGTTGCAGTTTTCAAGCTGCAAACACACAAAAGTAAATGATTAAAGATTTTTCATTTGTTTAATATGCATGTATTTGCATATGTATATGCGAGACTAAGTCCTTAGGACCCACACACAAAAACAAGTAAGTTAGAGTTCTTGTCCTCAAGAAACTTGAAGTGTTTTCAAAACATAACAAAAACAAGTTGAAATCCTGGGGATTCCCTTTAAACTTGGAATTCAAACCACTCCCAGAAACCAACTTTCAGCCAAATGTCAGATTGGCTCATAAAAGAATGTCACCTGTGAGTACTATACTCTAAATAAGAATTTAAATAAAATCTAATGTTAAAGATTTATCCTAGACTAAAGATGTGAAGGTAAGGGTGTAACAGGGAAGCTAGATGAAGAAGAGTCAGAACAACCAGAATGCAAATAACTGGGAATGCTGACAATGGTGTGAAAAACGGAATTCTGTTATTCAACAAAAAGTATAGGAATTGTTAAAAAGAACCTAATTTGCTATGTTAACTTTTACTGTAAACACAATAAAATGTTAAACAAAATAAACTAAGAATAGAAACAATCTGTGAAAACAATATGCAGCACCTTTGTTATCTACCTTTTTCATGTTGGCTCCAAGTTTTGGGTATGGAGGCTTATTAACTTTACTCCAGTCAACAGGAACTTTAATTCGTTCATATAACTGTAAGATTACCAGAGCATCTTGCAGGTCACTAATGGAGCAAAACAGAATTTAATCAGTGTTTTCATATAGTGAACCTTTCGCTTTCCTTAAGAAACAATAATGTCTTATTGTCAAACAAAATAGAGAAACTTCAACACTCATATTTTCTATCAACATTATGCTGAGGATAAAGCTAAGACCATCTTATTCACGTAATAGCATTTACTGAGAGCTCACTGGGAGCAAGGGATTATTTTTGAGGCTAAGCACAAAACCCGTAAATCTTTGTCCCTACATAAGAGTCAGACAGACAACAATACATGGATAAATATATAATATGGTAATACATAGGAGAGCTCTAGTGGCCTAGTGGCAAGAAGCTGCACTGCAACCCCAAAGGCACATGGTTCAAGGCCACCAGCCGCTCTGCGGGAGAAGGATGGGCAATCTCCTCTCCTGAAGTGAACGGCCTCTGAAAACCCACTGGAGGGTCAAATTTGGGCTGGTTCCAATTCGACAGTACACAACAACAACAATATATAGGAACTGCTACCTAAACCCAACTAAGGTTTGACTTAGAGCACTACAGGCTATTGTCAGGAAGACCTCTCTGAAATGATAGATTCAATATAAAAAAAAATGAGCCTTGGGGAGAGGAGGGCAGGGCAAAGAATATTCCAGGCTGAGAAAACAGGAAGCACAAAAATCCTACGGCATATCATGGATAGTCTCCCTTAGCACCTCCTTGACTCTGACAACATTAAGGTCAACGAAGGTACCTCCCTAGACTACTGGAAAGACATATATTCTATCACTTCCAGTTAAGGATACTGTGAAGAAATACTTCATGTAATTGGGCAAACTGTGGTAGAAACAACCACTCAAATTTTTTCCAATCTACAACATTTTGAAAATGGAAAGTTAATTTTTTACATAGTATACATTCATAATGTTCTTAAATGTTCAGAATAGCAGGAAAACTTACGCGTAGAGATGGTTCACATGGGGATTAACACCAAGCGAGTTCATCCAGTTACGGAAGGTTCTTTCTTCACGAGTTTCCCCTAGTTAAAAAGGATTTGTTTTCAAGTGAGTAGTGGAACATGAAGAATTACTTTCAAATTTTTTACACTTGTGCACTAAGTGTAATTCACACAGGACATGGTTTTGTCTGCTCTGCGCAGCTTTAAAAGGAATACTGGCAGTGAAATGGTTAAGTGCCCAGTTGCTAATTGAAAGGTTGATTGTTTGAGCCCATCAGTCACTCCACAGGATAAAGACTAAGCAGTTAGCAGTTTGCTCCTTTAAAGAGTTACAGCCTTGGAAATTCTGTCAGGCTTTTCTACACTGTCTTGTAAGGTTGCTAAGAGTTAGAATGGACTAGATGATAGAACAATGGGTTGATTGCCTTTGGTGGTTGTTGTTTGGTGTTTTTTTTTTTTCACATGAAGATCCTAAAAATTTTATAAATATTTCAGATTTTAAACTTTATACTTTTTGGGTTTTATTTTATTATTAAAAATATTTTAAAAGTTATAAATGTATATAGGTATATAAATAGAAAAATAAAAAATATATTAAAAACATTATATACGAATTCAAATACATTGCTTTCCAGAAAAGATTCTTGCAATTTCTCTCACCCCCCCATCCATCAAATTGTACAACCCCATGATTAATCTCCCCTCCCCTTGCACATCCTTTTAAAAAAAAACCCACCAATACAGATCTAAGTTTTCCGCAACGCGAATTTCCATGTATTCTATCAAGATTACAAACCTGTAATTTTTTTAAAATTTTATTTTATTTCATTGTTTTTTGTGTGTACCGTCAAATCAGATCTGACAGGTACAGGAGGAGACTGTCCCTCTTTCTCCAGCAGAGCATCTGGTGGATTCGAACCATGCCCCTCTGGGACTGCAGTGCAGCTTCTTGCCACTAGGCCACCAGAGCTCCCTTACACACTTGCAGCTTTTAATTTATTAAATTTATGCTGAAATTAAAGAATATACTCTTATAATCAGTTAAGTAATTCACAGGTTTATAAAGTCTTTATATCTTCTTTTTCTTCTAATCTTTCTCCAATCTCTCTCCCAAATCCCACACTTCTGAGTAACCAATGCCAACAGGCTTTGTTTATATATTTAAAAACTCTATGAGTCGTCTACGACTCGAAAGCATTAAACAACAATAACAATGATGACGACCAAGAGAGAGCTACGTTGGCCTATTGGAAGGAAGCTGTGCAACCAAGCCGAAGGTGGGTGATTGTCATCTGTGGCACTCGGCCAGGTTCAAATTGTCTTCCTGTCAAACATTCTTCTAGGTGGTATAGCACTGGTCTGTTCGTTGCTGTACAGAGGTAACTCGTGGTTGCTGTGATGCTGAAGCCTGTGACAGTGATGTGCCAATCGTGGTAATGGGCACCCATGGTGGACGGTGTTGGCTGGAGCTTCCCGACTAAATCAAGCCTGGGAGCAGGAGCGGCATCCACTTCCAAAATGGCTTGCCTCTGGAAACTCTATGTACGAATAGTGTTCAGGCTGTTTGTTCGTAGGGTCGCTATGAGTCGTCTACAACTCGACGGCATTAAACAACAACAACAAATGTTCATCTACAGCAGTTTAAAAACCCTCAAGTATATTGTTGGTTAGTGGGTTTCTGAGGTTGTAAATCACCCAGGAGATTACCCATATTTCTCCCATGGAGCGACTGGTGGATTCGAACCACCAGAAAGGCACCTGCTTTGAGTTAGCAGTGCAACACCCTATGGACTACACCACCAGAACTTTCTTATTTTCATATTCATTAATTTCTATTTTACCTTTAATCTGATAGTTTTCAAAATAAGTATGGTAAAAAAAAAAGCATACCCTCTATACAAACCATGAAACTATGAGTGATTATTATTTTACTTTTTTTTTTAAGTGAAAGAAATTTCTGTCCTGTCTTTGGATATCCAATGAACAAAAGAGTTGCGTATTCTGATGATAAATATTATACATCATGCATATATAACCTAGACATGTAAACTCTCCCTTCCCAAACAAAAAGAATTAATAACCATATACATAATATCACCATATATATAATACATATAATTTTTTAAGCTGATAGAGATGCAAAATGCTACACGTTATTATAGTTACTCTGATCGTGGAAGAACAAAAGAACTACACACACAAACACTATAGTGTGTAAGCCAAAATTTGTGCATGTGTGAATTTATCAGGTTTGCAGTTTTTAAATAGCTGTCTAATCTTCAAATACTGGAACCAAACTGCTGGTTTATTAACACGTTGCCACAAATGATGGCAAGTGTGTTTCTAAGCATGGTCATCAAGTTAAAAAGTGTTCAGCAACGTGTTCAATGACTTTCCACAAAGTGACCGTACACTATTTTTTTGACTATTTTTATAAGTTCATTTGCATTGTCTTTCTACCAGCTCGCATAGTTTACTCATCACTTAAGGAAACTGGATGAAGAAGCTTAGTCAAGCCAGGATTTTGAAACCATCCTACACATTGCTGTTAGCTGCCATCAAGTAGAGAACGACTCACAGCGACTCTATGGTCAATAGATCTGATGGAGCTCTCCACACACTTGATTTGAGAGACCTTCAGTTACCTTCCAGTAGGGTCCAGTCGATATCCTGGTTCTCAGGTTTAGTTAGTGCCGGATATTTATTAAACAAGTTAGCCACAAAGGCTAAATTCAGCTTGGGGTTTCCACTGACAACATCAGCAGGGGTAACAAACTGTCTGCAACCTAATTTGTCTGCTTGTTGAAGCATACTCTCAGCTCTCTTCAAATCATCTGTTTCCTGTTTAAGTAAAATAAGAAAACAGTTCTTAAAACGCCATTCTAAAAATATAGAAATGTTTCCTTACAATGATATTCTGGATATATGATTCTACTTTCTCTTAGCCAGCATATGGTACTTATTATAAAATTGTTTTGGATGGAAAAAAAAAAGAAGTTGGTTATTCTGGTATGCAGTACCTTAAACATACACGAGAGGGCACCAGATTGCTGCAGTAAAAGACTACTTTTTTTTTAAGACAACCTTTAAAGCAAGGGAAGTTAGATCTTACCCTTTGAGGTACAAATGCAGCAAGGGAAAAAGCTAAAAACTCTTCAGAATTTTTCATTAGGCCCTGAAATACGTGTAAGACTGGGAATGCTGAAGGGTGCTGGAAGACAAGGGGAAAGCATGGACAAATGTTCTGAGGTAAAGTGAGTAGGGGAAATGGGGGCACCTGAATGGTGGTGGCATGTGGAAGGCTATGGAGTGCAGAGAAAGGAGTGTTGGCAGTTTCTGCATGGCGCACATGGTTGCTAACTGGAAGGCTGGCAAGTTACACTCACTTGGAGGCCTCTCGGAAGAAAGGCCTGGCCACCTACTTCTGAAAAGTCAGCCACTGAAAACCAGATAAGCACAGTTCTACTCTGACACATGGCATGGCTGTCACTAGCTGCAGTCAACTGGCCTAGAAGTGATGGAGCAAGACTGTGGAGGGTCTTCAATAAGCAGAGCGTTTCAAATGGAATTCTAGAATTAATGGGGTGGGGGGATGTCCTTGAAGGAATCTGAGAAAAGAAATAAGAGGTGTGCTTTAAGAAAACTAAGCAGGGAGGCCTATTTGTAGAACCATAGAGACCTGGGTGAGCCCTCTCATCTGCCTTATCTCAACCAAACGTGACCTTACCATACAGGCACAAGAACCATTTCGAAATCTTGCCTGTAAGGGCAGTGAAAATGGTTTTAACAAGTATAATTCACTCGACCCTATTATTTAATAGGCTAGGCATGTGGATTATGTTAATTACTAGAATGCATTCCGTATCTGGGGGTACAAACCACAGATTCCTACAAACATGAGCTGGAAGGAACTTAATGGTCTAGTCCAACTTCTTACTTCATAATCAAGTAAAACAGGGGCTCATCTTGAGGGAAAACTTGTTCAAGGTCACCAAACAATCTGGCGATGTAACTGGAGAACACAATCAATTACCTCACTCTCAAATTGGAAGTAATAGATTAGGAGACTATAAACATTCTCTTTGCAGGAATATTATAAAGAATATTAAATTTACTGGTGAGGTTATATTGCAATTATTTAGATGGACGATAAGTGCTTCTACTTTATTTTATCCAGAATTGTCTTGTTATGTACCATCGAGTTGGAACCGACATATAAGTCGAGCCTCCAGCAGGTTTTCAGAGGCAGTTAATATCATGGAAGGAGACTGTTCATCTTTCTCCAGTGGAACAACTGGTAGTTTTGAACTATGTACCTTCAGGATTGCAGCAGTTTCTTACCACTAGGTCACCAGAGCTTCCTATACTTGCCTTAGGTGGTGCTTTGACTATTTTCTGCCACCATTTAAACCAATATTTTGATGATTATGGAACTCACTCACTAATTATTCAAAGAATCCAAAGCAAGTCTTTTTTGGCTCTCAATTACAGGCATACATCTAAAGAATCGAGTTTGAAAAGCATTAAAAAAGAATGCTTCAAAAAAAAGAAAATAAAAAGAGTGCTTCAAGTTTCTTTTATTTGCAGTAAATCGACAATAACTTTGTTAAGACTGTAGAAGTCAGAAGAACACAGATACTTACATTGAAACCTGACATGTTGATATCTATGCGTGGTTCACCTTCCTTTTGTCCTTTTGGTGCAATTTGATTGAGAAGATGGAAATAGGCTTTAGAATCCTACAAATGAATTGGAAATTTCAGTGAGATCATAGTTACAAGGAATGGATGCATCCTCTTGTCTCATATTTGGGAGAATGTTTGTACTGGATTTTGTGAGACTCTATGGCACAAGGCTCTGCCCGTTCATAGCACAGACGTTTCCCCAGGAAGACCCAGGTCAGTCTTGAACAGGCGTGAGCAGCTTTTAATGTGATTTTACAACTTATCAAGGTCCTCCATATACCAGTGTTTATACACAAAACGAGTTGGGTACCTTAACTGAATTACTGAAGTCAATAAGCTTGGTAAACAGGACAAACAAGAGAAACAAAGCAGGAGAGCAGAGATCCAGGAAGCATAAGGAAAGAGAAAATAAACAGGTTACACAATTACAAAGCACCAGATATACCATAACTTGAGAAGAAGAGATTATTAGTATTGTTAAAGATGTGCATAGTTGGCAAAATTTTAAAATTAGAGTTTTCTTTCAGTGACAGAATATTTAGCCCTTTATGAATCTGAATACAGTTAACAAAATCAGCTGCTTCTTTTTGTTGTTTTAAGACAGACAAGTCTTCAATCACTTGAACATTTCTCAGAATCCTAAGAGGTAATAAAACAGGGTGACTTTCTTATTATGCGGTGGGTTAATTTGGACGGTTTACAGAAAACGGCTTGAGAACCCCATTAACTAAGGTAAACACTTTATTAAGTGTCTTTTCTACACTTGCCTGGCTCTCTGGAATATGAAGACAGGAGGACAGAAAAATTTTTTCAGTCAAGAGTATTTAACCCTGCCTTCTACCTTCTACCAGCCATCTTCCCAATTCCTATTACTGAGCCTTCAAAATCCAGACAGACTATAAAGTGATAGACAATGTGTATCACTGTTCCCTATGGGAATTTCCTTAAGAGGCAGATTACTGGTTCCAAGACCTGCCAAATCTGACTCTAGGGGCAGTCAAAGAAAGGCCACTTTCAACCAGCTACCCAAAGAGTAGTTACACAGTGCTATCAATGGGTCTAGGAAGGATGGAAATCGGGTGAGTGAAAGTCATTGCAGAATGATTTGTGACGTGCAAATGCAAATCCTACCATCAGGAGGCCTAAGACTTACCTCCTCCTATAGTCTAGTGCACAGTAGTTAAACAAAATGCTTTCACTTATGAGAATGCCTGTTCAAAGTACATGAACAATTCATAATCTAAGCCTATGCATGTGAAAAGAACAGCTGAAACACAGGCCAGCAAGGGGAGCATTCCTAACCCTGAAAGGAGCTTTAAAGGTGGAAATGTGATCGTTGATAAACTGGAAGTTATTTTGTTTAATATTAACAACCAATCACTATTTGGCATTTAAAAAACTATTCAGTCAGGAGGAGAGCATAGACCTTTTTTGATGAGTCTTTAATGACAATTCATCACTTCTGCCATATTCTGTCTTAGAAATGAGTCACTACCTCTCCCTCCCACACTCAAAAGGAAGAGGCATGAAAAGCCATCTCTTGAAGGAATGAATAATAATAAAGAAAATTTAGGCCCATCTGACAACCACAACAAGCCTGAAAAAGTATTTTGGAAAGTGATCCAAAACGCAGAGAACTTCACAATGTTGTTCACGCCAATGGCCTTTATGAAATAAAATCACACTGTTTTTGATGCACAATCATGGGGGAAGGGAGTGAGTAAAAGAAATGATGTCTGAGGAGCATTATTAACAATAACAAAAAGTTTCTATTATGGAATTCTGTGAAAATAGATCAGACAATTACATGATAGAAATATAGACATAGAGAGAAAACATGAAAGGAAATAAATGAAAAGAATACATTAAAAAATTATTTCCATTTCTCTTATACATTTAAAATAATGGTCTGTTGCATAAAACTGATTTACAAATGGTGTTGAGGTGCACATCTAATGCATAAAGCAGTGTCTACTGGCTAAATATGGGTAAGTCAGTCAATGTGTGTGCTTAGTTGGTTTTGTAAACTTGGACTACACTTAATTCTCAGTGATATAATCACTATTATAACTATCCTGATCCCTTCTTCTCGCAAATGGCCAAAGTGATAGGCTCACGGAACACTGTTTTCACAACCCTCTTGACTCTATGGTTGGGTCTTGTCATATGATGAAGACCCCCAACTTTGTTCCTTGGGTTCCAAACAACAGGAATTATGAGAAGATGGAATCAGTTCATGACAACAGCAGAGTATTTGCTCTAGAAATATTGGTCCTCTTTCCCTTTAGCCTTGGTGGCATAGTGCACTACATTTTGGACGGCTGACTGAAAGGTTAGTGGTGGGAATCCACTGGCCCCTCTGAAGGAGAAACATGTGAAATTTCCTTCCATCAAAATGTCCAGTACCAGTGGATTTGATTTTATCCCAGAGAAGAAGTAATAATGTGCAAAATGAATGCAATAAGTTTCTCCCTCCTCCTGGTTTCCTTACAGTTCATTTTTAACAGTGATGCTAAAATTCAACTCAACACAGTGGTCATACACGTGTGTTAAGTGAGCAATGGAATGGTAGAAGCCAAATTGAACGGTGAGTAGGAAAGAAGAGGCCCTATCGCTCTCTGTTATAGGTCCTGATTTAACAGGTACACTGAGGCCTGGGAGAGGCAGTTAAGAACAGGACTGTCAATTCCTATCTCTTTATAGTCTGTTCAACAACAGGTGTTATGTGAAAACTTAGGACTATAATATATACTTCTTACACTTTTGTACAAAACAATATACTTGAAGAGATAAGAAGACTTCACATCTGTTGAAATTGACCATTAGGTCCAAGAGACAAGGCGGCTTGGTGATATGTTAGGACAGATGATCAGTGAAGGAAGAGAAGTCACCCAAGCCGGTCATGAACCCCGCAGAGTGCTAAAGTTCTTTGCAGAGTTACCTTGATGTCAGCACTGAAGTTATTGATCTTTTGCCAGCCTGAGTTTTCCAAGTGAAAGTTCGCCCATCGAAGCAGAAGCTCTTCTGGAGACAATTTCATAAGTTCCTCCAAAGTCTCCCCATCACGAAGTAAAGCAGCCAAGGCTTTAAGACAAAAACAAAATCCCACAATCAGTATAGGGTCTGGTAATAGTTGTTACAGGTCTGCTCAGTCTTTTAAGACCTACTTATGACTCAGTTGTGGTTTCTGAGTGCTTAAAATCTAATAGAAAAGATTCACATGTAAGGAAATAATTTAAGATGCTAGAAATAGAAACATATTAAAATGAGATGATAAAGCAGAAACATATTTGTCTATCTTTATAACTACTTTTCATGCTCTAAAAACGAAACGCACTAAGTTTAATATTTTCACATGATGTAATTATGTGAAAATATTAGTAATATTTAATAATTTGATAATTCAACAATTCTTTAATAATTTTAAACTCTTTGATTTAGTGGAGGATCTAGAAAAACTGGGAAAATAGCATTAATATTTTGATCTGAGTAAAGAAACACACTATGGTATTTATATTTAAAATATAATCAGTCAACACTTAAAGGACTCAAGTGTTTTTTTAAAGAATTATCATTCAACTTTCCATTTTCCTTAGCACCTAACATGTAATGACCACTTAAGTTTTCTTTTGTTGAACTTAAGATGTGGAAGAGTCCAAAGGTTTTTCTATTTTTTAAAAAAAATTATTCCCAATACGACAGGTAGAGGCTTAAATGTTAGCATTCTTCTAAATGTTTAAATGTAAGCATCGCTTGAAGTTATAAGATCCTTATGCAATAAATTACTTTGCATAAACTGAAAAGAGATTTCTATTGAACAAGGAGAAACTGAAATTGCCTGATTACTGAGGCTGTTTAAGGGAAACCATCATCTGGCAAATGTCATCTTCTTTGATAAGAGTCTGTTTCATATTGTATCATTTTGCCACTAATTTAGGCAAGAATAGATACTTTCTGTTCACTACCCATCTCCACCATATCAGAGGCTATAGAGCGTTACTTAGTCTGGTAATTATGTTTTAATTATGTTTTCTCTCTTCCCTTTGTGTACTGACTGCCATTCCTTCAAGATAACCAGAATTCTTATTTTTTTCCACTCAAAGATAGATATGAGTGGTTTGAAAGAATAACATAGTCTTGAATGTGTGAAGAAAATATTTCTTATCATGTGTAAGTATGCCAAAGTAGATTATTGACAGACATAGAGAAACCCTCAAAACAGTGAGAATCTCAAACATAACATTTGCCCTTGAACTGTATTACTCACTGTTGACCCTAGAACAACGTGGGTTTGAACTGCATGGGCTCAAGTCTTACAAGTAACCACTTAAAACAATGGGGGTGTGTGTGTGTGTCAGTAATCATCTCCTGGCAATGATGAACAGCTTACACAGAGATGATTAGCAAAACACAAGCTCACTGAAGTAACAAGGCAAAAAAGATCCACATGTCAATGTGCCTACACAGTTCAAAGTCATGCTGTTCAAAGTGCAACTGTACATTCTTCCCACAAAGTAAAAGAGGAATGACGGATGATTCTAGGAACTTTGTACTAAAATATGATGATATGGGCATGGAGCTCAATATCCTAAATTTATATAGGGAGGATGATGCAAAAATGGCTCAGAAAACAGCTGCATCACATTGTTGTTGTTGTTGTTATGTGTCACTGAGTCGGAACTTACTCTTAGCTGATCCTCTAGCGGGTTTCCAGAAGCAGTAAATCATGTGATTTGCATGGGAGGAGACTGCTCATCTTATTCCTGAGGAACAGCTGTTAGATTTGAACCTTGTGACTTTGGGTTGGCAGCACAGCTCCTTACCCACTAGGCTATGAGAGCTCCCTGTTGCATCACATGTAATGTGATATAAATCCATGATGTGATATAAAAATATATGTTAAGAAACAGTTGACATTTTTGCTGGTTTGGGAAATGTGACACTACTGATGTTGGGTCAGAGACTATCAGAAGAAGTATAAATCCATGACAAAACCTAAAAGGAATGAAAAATAGAGGACACAGTATATACAGTGTTAGAGGTCTGGAGCTGAGGGTGATGATAAGGTGGGGGCTGTGTGGACAGGACAGAAACCAAAAGATACCAAGTGTTGGAACCTTGGGAAACTGCCTAAACCTCTTTGTGCTTTTGTGTCTTTACTGCAAAATTAATTATAAAGCACCAGACAAACGGTAGTTAATAGTAAAGGAGAGATTTATAATTAGGCTGTTTTCTTGAATAACACTATAACATTCATTACCTTATGTTAATTCCAGTTATTATCTAATCACCTCAATTAAAGGAAAGCAAGACAGACTAGAAAAAAGTAACCAATCCAGAACTTTTAACAAAGACTGTGTTCCAGTACCTTCATTCCTGCTTAATTCAATGTCAGCGAACAAACCGATCTTAATGATCTGCCAAAGTAGTCCCAGAACCAGATGAGGCTTCCCAGCCCGCAGATCCTCTGCACCAATGTTTACAACGTGACACCCAATGGCAGAGGCTGAGTTCAGTGCCAAGTTCAAGTTCTCCTGCAAGACAGCAAAATTATTTACTTAGTCTTGACCTTTCCATCACCTAGCAGTCTACATTTTCCTTCACTGAAAAGAACACTCAATGAGGAAGTTAATGTCCTGGATGTCTTCATTTCACCAATAAACGATCCACGGAAAACAAATTCCAGACTTTGGTTGTGAAAAGCGCAGCTAAAATGAATTCCAGCCTTATTACTATTGTCTCCTGCAGAATTCCATGGTAAGGTCGCTTGACATTTTTATTTAGTCTCTTTTGTAGTATACTGACATTGAAAGAAAAGGCTTAGTGACTTAATTAAACATATCCTTGTGGGTAAACCACCATATTTCTAAAAATACCCAACCAAGACCACTCCATCAAGCTAATTGTGACTCACAGTGACCCTGTAGAAGGGTGCAAAACTCTCTCGTAGGTTTCCCATTCCTTAAGGAAGTAGATGGGCATATCATGCTCCCAGGGAAGTGGCTGGTGGGTTTGAACTGCTGACTTTCCAGGTTGAAGTTGAACACTTAGCTGGTGCACTTAGCCTGGGCAACTCATTTCTAAAAATACCCAATACCAATAGGACTACATATACCAGAAGGTGTTCTAGAAGTTATCAGTGCTCACAATCCAAGGTATACTTTTGCCTGGGAAATTCTGTTATTTAATGGTCTAATAATCACTTGATAGAAAAGAACAAGGTTCTATTTCTTATGCATGCCACAGCCAAGTATTTCTGCACTGTTTGAACATAGGACTGTGTAAGGAAAAGAAAATAGGACTCTGGAGCTTTGAGCTTTGAGCCTCAGTTCAGACATAGCTAGTTATTAACCTTGAACAAGTGTGACAACATCTCTGAGTTTCAGCTAATTTCTCTTTTAAAAGCTATATATGTCTAAATTTTATTATTTTTTTGGTGTGTACCGTCAAATCGGATCTGACTGGTACAGAAGGAGCTTGTCCCTCCTTCTCCAGCAGAGCATCTGGTGGATTCTGAACCACGTACTTCTGGGATCACAGTGCAGCTTCTTGCCACTAAGTCACCAGAGCTCCCTTAAAAGCTATATATTAATGCCAAATTAATATAATGAGTCGTAGTTAGGATGAAATGAGAGGACATATAAAGAGCAGAGCATAAGATCAATAGAGCAGGTCATCAAACTCTTTTATAGAAAAGAAAGGAGAAACCACCGTACCTGGATGATAAAGGGAGTCAGTTTCTTCTTATTGATGGCTCTTTCATCAATTGTATCAGGAACTGAAAGGTTGATCATTTTACTGAAATAAAAATGAATCAATCTGGCTTAAAAAAAACCCTTGCAAATAATCACAAATACTTGAAGGGCTAAATATGTTTCTCACGTAAAGGAAAAACATAAATGCAATATAGGACTCCCGTCATTCTTAACTGAAAACTGAAAAGAAAAAAAAGAGACTCAAATGTTGAGAAAACTTGGGCATCCCTATGTAGGGGAGTATGATGTACATTTTCTTTGTTATTTTAAAATAAATTTTACATTCCCTTTGAGAAGAACTTGAGTATTTTTAAAAAGTAATATTTTAAAAGATGAAATTCAACAATGAAAATGTGAATCTCTATTACATAACACACAATCACAGATTACTATTTATCCACGTTTAAGGTAAAATTCATTGAGCATGAGATTTTTTTTTTATTCACCAAATATTTCTCGGGGGCCTAACTGACAAGTGAGGCACTATATTTAGGGCTGGTGATACAGAAATGAGAGAAAAGAAAGTTATTTTAGTAATGCTGTGACCCTATTAGGAAGAACCATATTTGGTAAAATTTGGAGTTAGTCTCTAACATTTTTTTTAGTATTTATTTAAATTGTGGTTGTAATGAAAGTTTACAGAAACATTGGGTTTTAGATGCTCATTGTAATACTGCCCTAACAAATTTTATTCTGTACAGGAAAAGAATCATGTTTCTTTCTAGGCAAAAATTAATTACTAAATAAATAGTGCCATGTAATTCCTTCCCTATACAAATATATGTGATAACTATGTCTTTAACTGCTTATAAATGGGGAAGGGGGAAGAAGAAAATTCTACTTACATTTTCAAGCAGGTTTTCAAACAACCAAGATCAACTCCTTGCCCTCCCCCCAAAAAACCCCTTCAAAAATGTAATGCTGTTGAGTTGGAACCAACTGACAGCTGACTCTCTAGTGGGTTTCTGAGGCTTTTAATCTCAGGGGAGGCGACTGCCTGTTTTCCTTGGAGCCACTGGTGGATTCCAACTTCCAGAAAGCTGAGACTTCTGGGTCAGCAGTACAACCCCTTGTGGAGTATGCCACCACAGCTCCCTTATTGCAAAGGAAGAATCTAATTTAATTGCACTGTCCTAAGCACTTTATATGTAGCGCTGCTCACAGTGGTGCTGTGCAGGGCAAGGTTCAGATCTGTTGTTGACAGGGTCACTATGAGTCTTGTGGAACTCGATGGTACCTAACAAAAATAACGATGCCCACAAAAGATGCGTGAGGTAAAGACAATGAAATTTGTGGCATAAGAGACGTGAAAATGGAAAGAGTTACATAAGGTGCTACACAGCTATTAAGAATCTGATTATGAACCTAGGCTGACTCATTATGGGATTGGCTCTCAATTTCTGTGCTGTACAAACTCTCTAAATAACAACATCGACAGACACACTGTTGTTAATCTTATGTCATGTCTGCCAAAATACCCTTGGGCAGCAGAAGCCTAAACGTATTTTTGGAAGACCTTGAGACCTGAAGAGTAGTCTTTGTCTCTCTTTTCCCCCCACAACATACCATACTTTAAAGTAAACAGCCATACTTAACCTCAATGAAGCTTTACTGTTATAACATTCAGCTATGAGAAGAAACTGGAAACAGAGTTTCCAGTTTCCATGTTTAAGAGTGAGACTGAGATTCAATTGTTGATGGTGCGTTCACAGACAGTCACAGAGGTGAAATGTAATAAATAGGCAGAGCCACGCCAAGTTTCAAAGCAAATTGGGACCTGAGGTGAAGCTGCTCAGTATTCAGAAACAGAAGCAGCAAATACGGCGAAGGCTACTTTTAGACATCTCAGTGTGAGATAAAGGAATCTCTTACCAAAGTACAATTCCATCACCAACAGCTTTGAACAGGTCATCGGTATTTGGGTTCATTGGTATAACATGTCTGCAATCAGGATCATTTTCCAAAGCCTTGTTTATCCAGTTAACAAAAGCATATTTTTCTTCCTCTAAAATTTGGAAGAATAACAAGAAATTAGTGTAAACTCTAGATTATATATTTGACTCCTAAATGGAAACTATCTTAAGTGTTACAAACGTGTAGCTGTCCTCTCTGGAAATCCAGACACCTGAGTGGAAAACAGTGGCTATTAAGAATTACACGAGGTCAGTTACGTTTTGGGGATTGTAACGAATATCATAAATCAAAGTGTAGATGAATGTTATATGGGAAGAAATCAATATGCTTTGTATGCTTTCACTTCCCTCAAAATCAAAAGGATAACAAAAAGTACAAAATTCACAAAAGTAACAGAATGGGGTTAAGTGATCCCGCACACTTTTTAAAATGATGACCATGCTAAGAAACACATTTGCCGTCATTTGCAGCAATGTGTTAAAGAAGCGGCTACAAACTGCATTACAAAGTTCATTACTGTAGACCTTCACTGGAATGAAGCTTTAACACTATACGCATTCAGAGCCTGTCTTTAAAAGCTAGCAAAGCTATGCAGGCAGGCAGTATCTATAATGATTCTATGGCAACACTTCATCTCAAACCCAAATACATGTTACAAAAGAATTCTACTGTGGTCCTAATTAGGGAAACATGTTTTTCTAAGACTCCCTCTTTGACATTACTCACTCTATTTTGTTTATTGTGCCAACCGAGCGCACACTCAATGATTACCTGAGTAAGAATGCTGTGTTCCTTCACTGGACAGCTCTGAAGTTCCCCCAAGAGCACAGATTCCTTCTTTCCTGTTGATGGCCTTACGGAAGGTCTTGGCAATATCACTGCTTTTCACCTCTTGGAAAATCTAGTGATTGAAATATTTTGTAGAGTCACAAAGTTAAATCAAGCCTTAACAATCAGTGTGGTCTTTGAGAATAGCATTGTCTGTGTTTTTCCCCACCTCCCCCCCAGATGATGAGTGTTAAAAGATGAAGGGGAAAAAAGGGGGGGGCTGGCTTTCTGAACTGCTAAACAAGTCCTACAGTGTCGCTGCTGATAATGAAATGCCAGCAAGTCAATTGCACACGTGTCAAAAATGCTAAGTGTTACATGCACAGGTTCCGTTTTAGGCCAGAAGCTCGTGTGGTTCAAAGGCCAAGGTAAATGTGCCAATTGTCTCTACACAAGGAAAGCTTTGTTCTTCTCCTGGAGAGAGAAGGCCGAAGAATATCCCTTCTTTAATGACAATTTTTGGGGCGGAGAAAGAGAAAAATATATGGCTCATTTAAAAATAAACACACCAAACCACCAAGCTAAGATCGTGGATTTTTAGTACAAGTTCATTGACTTGAAAGGTAAGAAAATAGGTTAATAAGAGCAAGCTCTAGCAGCTGCTGACAAACATATCTTCAGATGAAGTATATTGCTGGTATTATTAGGTGCTGGTTAAGGAGAGTTTCAACTCATGCCAACCCCATGGGACAGAGCCAAACTGCCTTAGAGGGCATTCTAGGCTGTAATCTTTATGGAGGCAAATCGCCAGTCCTTTCTTCCATGGAGCCACTGGGTGAGTTCAAATTGCCAACTTTTCTGTTAGCAGAAGAGCACTTAACTGATGATCTACCAGAGCTCCTCCGATGGCGATGTCAAGAACACTAAGGGGATTTCTGAAAAGAAACTTAGGACCTGATGGGAAAGTTACCAAACACATGAACAGAAGCAAAAGCACCCGAAGGCCATTAGCATAATTGAGAAAGACACACACACACACACACAAAACACAACTTCAGGAAGGTGCAGCCCTACTAGAGTGTAGAGCAGTTCTGCTTCTAGCTGTTGGAGCAGCTATGAGGAGCAGCCAGCCAGCTCACTCTATGCTAACCAAGCCTTATGTCTTGTACAAGACCGCGTCGGGCTGCAAGGAGTACAGGCTTTGTACTTAGACTTTCCAAGAAGATGTCTTGTCAAAATAAAATTCTTTTGTAATTTATATGAAGTTACTGTCAGTGCTGTCAAAGTCATCTTTTGCCCATTGTTGCGAAGTGCCGTCGAGTCGTAGGCGACTCTATGAATGAAAGACGTGGACACTTGTGTAACTTTCATTCTTTCTCCAGGTTCATAGGGTTTCCGGAGGCAAGTAATTTTGGAAGTGGATGCCACTCCTGCATCCAAGCTTGTTTTAATCAGGGAGCTCCACCAAACACTGTCCACCATGGGTAACCATTCTCGCATTTGACACATCAGTGTCACAATGTTCAGCTTCACAGTGACCACACGTTACCTCTGTACAGCAAGTGGACACACCAGGACTATACAACCTAGAAGAATGTTTTGCCCATTACTTGTTCTAAATCCTGACTTGACTTGAACGTCTGAAAACACTATTCCATTTAGGCAAACAGTACGTAGTGTAAGTTTTACAAAATCAAACTTGCTCTGTTTCCATAGTAGTGATTTCATGCTAGACCTTCTATTTCAGAGTGGATATGTGTACGTGCCCATACAAATAGTATATAGATGCATCAAGTACTCTAAACTTCACACACATCCAATGAACTCATCCTTCCTCCTCCATGACCATTACATGGACTCCAGTTAAATACCAATAGGGTGTAGCTGGCTCATGTGCTCTAGGTGATTTTCACATTACCAGAACTTGTTTTTACTTACAATCAGATTTTCATAGTCCAGCTTTAATTTCACAAAATCTACCTTAACTTCCAATCCAAGATTACATAACACGTTGGCTACCTGGCAAAACAACCAAGTCTGAACTGGGGAGCGTTTCGTCCTCCAAGCTCCTCTTTAGAAACCCCACACATCTACTCAGTGAAATGGCAATATTTACTCATCTTCTTCCTTCTGCTTGGAAAGGTGGAGGGTCAGTGAAAGAGAAAGACCTTCAACCAGATGGACTGACACAGTGACTTCTGAAATGGGCTTGAGTGTGCCAGGGACTGTAAGGTTGGCAAAGGATAGGACAGAGTTCCTAGGGTTGCTATGGAGCGTACTTGACTCAAACGTACCAAACATCAACTACCATCTGACTCCCTTTAGTAAAGTTTTCCTGGTGTTGAGTACCCCTGAGTTGTAATCGATTCTTAACTGACCCTCAAGTGGATATTCAGAGGCTGTTAACTGCATGGGAGGAGATTCTCCATCTGTCTCCTATGTAGCAGCTGGTAGATTCAAACCGAGTACCTTTGGGTGGGCAGTGCTATTTCTTACCACTAAGCTACCAGAACTCCCTAAAATATTCCCTGGTCAATAAAAACCTGAAAGGTGTGTATTGCCTCAGGACTGGCATACCATAAGTCACTAGAACGACATAAAAATGTCCAACACATTACCGCTTTAGAATAACTAGAAACAAAAAGTCATTCCCCCTCTGGCTTATATGCCTGCTACTGCCTTGTTGATTATTTGTGTTTTACAACTAGGAGGTTGTTCTGACCAGGGTTTACAATCGTTGGCCTTGGATAGAATGGAAGAATGGATCAGATGTCACATTCTTTTTTTAAGGGAAAAAAATCCTCAAACCCCAAAGCAAACATTCCAGACACTAGAAGAATAGAAAGCAGAGGATTCCCTGAGATGTATCACCCTGAGATACTCTTTAAACCTAGAAAGGAGCCAAACCCATGAGATCACCTTTTAGCAAGACATGAGATTATCACACAAAACAAAGAATCATCCCCCTTAAAATCGATGCCCTACTTAAAAGCCATCAATCAGTATGAGACCAAAGGTCATCGGTTACTCAAAAGCAAAGAGGAGATGAGGGACAGGCAAAATAGAGCACGAGAAAAGGAATAAACTGAACACAGGGAGAATGTTGGCAGGGGAGAAATGTAACAAAGGTCATCAACCAAACACTGTGTGTAAGAATTCTCCTACGGTAACAATCTGCCTGCAAATTGTCAAGTGGGAACCCAACTTGCTGTTAGGTTGGTTTTCTTAAAAAACAGTAATATCCCTCCCTCCTTCTCCAGCACAGCATCTGGTAGATTCGAACTGTGCACCTTCAGGATTGCAGCGCAGCTTCTTGCTACTAGGCCACCAGAGCTCCCTCACTGTTAGGTTTTTAATGATATTTTTAAAAAATTATTAAAACTTTTTACACAAGAAAAATTAAGACTGGCTTGTTTGAATAATCACATTTTCAGGTGAAAAAGAAATATAAATTTACGTCATGGGAAAGAAAAAGACTTTTTTCTTCCTTCTTTCATTCATGTACATTGTATTTTATACAATCTTACAATTACATTGTGTTTCATGCAATCATTCATATACATGTATTCTAGAACATGAACTACTATTTGTCTATACTTATTATTACCCAGACCTTTTAGTCTTCATTGAATCTTTTCTACCCATTCAAGTCCCCTCTGCCAAGTAATAAACGCTGCTATTCTAGTCATTCCCCCATACTCATTTTTAGCCCCCTTCCCACTTCCTTTTTGGGACATTTATACATATCTCTCCAGTTGTCCTAGGCCTAGTGATAAGAGGTTGTGCTGCAATCCCAAAGGCACAGAGTTTGAATCCACCAGCTGCTCTGTGGGAGGATGGGCAATGTCCCCCGGGTGATGTCCCGTCTCTGAAAACCCACTGGAGGGCCAGGTGTGGGTTGGTACTGACCTGATGGGACACAAAACAACTAGTTATCCTTCTATTTTTTTGTTTTAATTTTTTTAATTATTATTTTGTGTGTGTACCGTCAAATCAGATCTGACTAGTACAGGAGGAGATTGCCCCTTCTTCTCCAGCAGAGCAGCTGGTGGATTTGAACCACGCACCTCTTGGATTGCAGTGCAGCTTCTTGCCACTATCATTCTATTTTTATAATAATGGTCTTATGCAGTATTTATCTTATGGGACTGAGACTCAGCATAATGATCTGAAAAGAACTATTTCAATTGATAAAATGGGAACCTCTCCTGCTTAATACTCTCTAATGTAATATCGGTATAGCCTAATATCCGAATATATCCATAACATCCTAATGTAATATTTGTACTGCTCTAGAAAATCCTGGTGCTTGAGAATGGCATGCAAACTTGATTAATATGGGTAATACTCAATTGTCTTACAAAAATTATATGACCCTCATGTTCTAAACAGCTTTTTTTTTAAAAAAAAAATACTATTTTTCCTGTTTGTTCTTTTGATTTTTTTTAAAGGTCTAAAAGATCATTGAAGAGTTATGTGTCTATTAACTTGAGTTTACTACACGAAGAGTTTTCATTTTGCTTTTAGTTTTTGACTTTAGAAAAGAATATTTCTCCAGTGGCTGAAAAAGCTATTTGAGTAAAGCTTTGGCTTAACAAAACCCTCTGAAATAGGAGATAACACAAGGCCGACTACTGTGCTGGAAGTCTTCTCAATGAATCTTTTCAAAGCTGTCCATTGTGATCCTAATGAGCTCACTCTTTTGTGCTGTTTTGCCTCTTTGGGAAAGGATTTGCTTTATCATCTGCCTACCAACTCCTGCTCTACATGTTTCAGAAGGCAACCTCAACTCCTATTCTATACATCTTCTTCTCTTTCTTTTTCTGGAATTTTAGGAGTTCTCAGTCCCTGCCTCAAGGCTGCATTTGACCCTCAGCAACAAGCCAACAACTCCACAGTTAGCTCAGTACAGGACTAGTAGCCAAAGCAATCCAGAGGCATATGACTTTAGAGGAAGGAAAAATTTCAGAAAGAATTGCAAAAGAGTGTTGACTGGCTTCCAGTGTTTGGGGCTAGTTTCCAAAGTGTTTCCCAAGTAGCAGGTTTGAATTTTTTCCTTTATTTGGGATTTGCTGTAGACATATTGTGAAAAGAAAACAGATTTGAAAAAAAAATTTAAAAGAAAGGAATTATTAGTACATCTAGCACTATTCTAGATGCTTTACTTAAATTAAGCTTTTATTCTTATGGGGCCAGTACTATTATCAAAAGTCCTACAATTGGTCAGCAACATTCTATTATTATGCAACAGCAGGATATACTTTTTTTTTTTTACTGTGAAAATAAGGGTTTATTGCAGCCACTTTTGTTGAAAAAATGTATTGCTATACCAGACATGTACAGATGAAGAATATTAATCTTACTATCCTGTAGAAAATCCCAGTGATGTAATTTTTAAATACTTGGAAGAAACAAAATCCCAAATCTACTAGAGTATTTAATTTTAAGTTTATCTTCAAAATGGACATTAACAGGTTTCATCTGTAACCTGATTTATAATTACACTCCTTAAGCAGCAATTTTTTAAAAAAGCAAACAAACGACCAACATGCAAGAACGTGTTTATTTCTATTTCGTTATGTTAATGACTTACAGTATGACATGCTTCCTATTTCTCAGACACCTAAGCTCCAACCATATTTGGCTTGAAAATGTATAATGTATTTCACTGATGACAAAGGAGATGGGAGTAGGCAGAAATGTGATTAAATGCTCCTTTTCCTCCCCCCTCCACTCATTACGGGCATGGTAATAGCTTTCTGAAACTTCAGGTAGGTTATTATACTGTCCTTTGTATTTTAAATTTCTTGAATAGTATGGAAGTAAAAGAGGAAAAAGTCACTAGTCCTTTGTGTAATGTGGGCAAAAGTGGCAGGAACTGAGCTGCTTTTACTTGAAATATGAGAATGTAAGCATATGGATTCTTTCTAATTTTTTTATAAAAAATACATATTTTAACATAAACTGTCCTCATTAGTGTTTTAACAAAAAACAAATGATGCCCAGTGATGGCAATATTATTATGCATCCTCTTTAACTTTGTAGAAATAAAGGTAATTACAAGTCCTCGTTTGAAAGCCACTAACCGATGTTTAAAAAGCTCATTCTTTCAAAACAAATTAAAAAAAAATACATCCTCAAGACAGTGTTTCTTGATGACACTTTCATAATTTTGTCCTCAACATTGGGAACAGTGCAAATTTAAAAATTCAGGGTCAATTCTTTCTAGTAGATGGGGGAAGAGTGTGAGTAATCAGTTCACTAGTGCTTTCGGCTGCTTTAAATTCACAATTAAACATGCAATTACAAGAGGAGCGAGTTATCCATCAGGCATGCAAGTGCTCAGATTGCAAATCAATTGCAACTTACTATTCAACACAGAATTCAAAACAAAAGACTTGGGCAACAACTGGGGATAAAAAATGGTAGGGGAGAAAATCAGTATTTCGAAAGACAATGGCAAGAGCTATACACCATTATAATTATGACACAATTGTCTTTTCACACAATAACATCCTCATAAAATGCTACCAGCTGAGTAGACAATCATTCCTTAGTCAATTTGCTTCTTGAACACTCATTGTATTCTAAAGGACTTAATTCCAAGAAGAGGGAAAATGCCAGAATTTCACCTGCAACGGTGATCCATGGTTATAAAGGGGAGTATATAATATCATTTCAAGTGTCTTGGAGAGAAAATAATGCAGAAAAATAGAGGATAGGAGAGTCATGACGTCCAGGTCTATGAGAAAGACTAGGCTAATTATGACCTGACAATATATTGTAAGAGATACTTACAAATACAGTCTGTATTTAAATGAACAGATATTTTAAAAAAGAGCAAACCTTAATGCTATTTGTAATTGACGAAAGAGGCAAGAGTTGTTTATAAATATGTATCTAAAGTAGTTTGGAATGAATACAGATGACAATGGAAAACCTAGCCCTCATTTGTTAACAGCTTCAAATTTAGACTTTAGTGACCATTCTGGGTGTTTGGGAAGTAGATGAAAGATTACATTAGCTCCTAACACTTTCAGGAGAGTCTGATGATAATGGAGGAGAAAACAAAAAACGGACAATGGCTCTTCCAGTGAACTTAAACAATACGTGTCTAACTTTCAATTATCCAAATTATCATCCTAGAGAAAACGGCAGTTAACCACCACCACCGTAAGAGTCGAGCACATCTTCTGAATCAAAAAGTTCAATGCAGGAAGCTTCCAAGACTGTGGGTCATTAATATCTGGGAGCACAGTGTTCACACACTGAGAGAGAGCAGGAGGGAGAGAGACTGAGTGGTTCCAGGGCGCCATTAAGCACCTAGGAAAATACCCTTTAATGATGTCCCAAAAAAGGGACGGAATGGTGGTGTTTCTTTGATTCTGTTGGTAATTTTGTCAATTCTTTTGTTAAGATTCTTTTCTTTCTTCTTCTTTTTTTAAATTTAAAGGACTCAATGAGATAATTGTTATAAGTTATTTTTATAATAGGACTACTATAGTTAGGAAAGTAATAAAATACTTAAACAATTAAAGCCCCATTAGACAAAGGAATAATAATTATTTCATGTAGTGGTGAATTTTCATATACTTACATAAACAAATTCGTCAAAACTTATCTTCCCATCTTTATTCCTGTCACCATCCAGCATGAGTTTTTGAATAATTTCTCTGACTTTATATCCCGGTAATGGCATATTTGCTTCCTTGAAAAGCTCATGAAGTTCATAGTCGCAAATGAATCCATTGCTGTTGAGATCTTTGTACAAACAGAGGGGGAGAGGTGAAAAAAATCATTAAGGAAAAAGAAATTAACCTATAAAAGTGTATTTTTCTTCATCTATGCCTCATAAACTCTCCTAAACAATCTTTTTCTTCCCATTTGGTACCAAAGGTAGTATGAAAAGATACTATAAATTATAACTGAATGACTACAATTTTACATTATGTAAAGAATTTAATTAATTAATGCTGATTATGTTTTAAAACACAACCAAAATTTAGCAACAACCAGCTGTCATAATTTTTAAAGTTAACATAAACTAACATAAAGACTACAATAGTTTATAAATATAAATGTGATACTATATAAAGTAAATAGTTAAGAAGACACTATAAATAACTTATTTTTGTGCTACTAAAGTTTTAACAGAATATATATCTAAGTGTTGATTAAATGCAAGATGCTTATTCTGAAATAGAAACTGTTAAAGATGAAAGAAAACATTTGCAATGTCCAAAAATTTATTGAGAAAGAGGTCCAATATCCTGAAGGCTGCAATCACTCTAATGTCTTTCTATATATATAAAAACATATGTTGTTGCTGTGTACAGTGGTCAGAACCAACCCACAGTAGACTCTCCAGCAGGTTTTCAGAGACTAATTACACAGGAATTGATTTTCCGTCTTTCTCCCACAGAGCAGCTGGTGGATTAAAACTGCATACCTCTGCACTGGCAGCACAGTTCCATAACATTTTTTATATATAATGGGCCATAGCTGTGTCAAATGTCATGATGGTTACCCATCATGGACAGTGTTTGGAGGAGCTTTCTGATTGACTGAGGCTTGGAAGCAGGCGTGCCTTCCACTTCCTAAACCACATGCCTATGGATGGAAACTCTATGAACTTGGAGAAATATATATATAATAAAGGGAGCTCTGGTGGCCTAGTGACAAGAAGCTGCACTGCAATACCAAAGGAACATGGTGCCATGCAACAAGCAGCTCCGTGGGAGAAGGATGGGCAATCTTCAAACTGCTTCTGAAAACCCGCTAGAGGATTAGCTAAGGGTTGGTTCCGACTCTGTGGTAAACAACAACATATAAATATATTTAAATATATGCACATATAAGAATAAATATATATAAACATATATATGTAAATATACACACATACATACATATATGAAAATATGTATAAACCTGCTGGAGGGTCAGCTACGAGGTAGTTCTGACTGAAGGGTACATAACAAGGTTTTTTTAAATTAAAAAATGTTTGACTATCATTAGTAACTTCAAATGCTGTTGTTCTAATGTTTTTTATTCTTTATGTTCTCACTGATTTTCATATGTAAATTTAATTATCTTAATAATAGCTAATAATGATTCAATGATGACTAGAGCACTATTTAAGAAAACACTGTGAATAGTTTATTTCATACATTAAAGACTCCTTAGAGTTTTCGTTGTTGTTACTGTTTACTGTTCTTAGGACTAGTGATAACTGCAGCTAGTGAAATTAAGTCTTGTTCTCTGAAAGAATTAACTTTCTAACAGTGATTAAGAATCATATATTATGATGTTGTTGCTGTTGTGTACCGTAGAGTCGGAACTGGCCCATAGCTGACCCTTGAGTGGGTCTTCAGAGGCAGTTAATCATACAGGAGGAGATTGCCCATTCTTCTGCAGAGCAGCTGGTGGCCTTGAACCACGTGCCTTTGGGATTGCAGCGTAGCTCCTTGCCACTAGGCCACCATATTAATATAAAATATAGCATACAATATAGTTTCCGGAGGCAAGCCATTCCGGAAGGGGATGCCACTCCTGCTTCCAAGCTTGTTTGAATTGGGAAGCTCCACCGAACACTGTCCACCATGGGTAACCATTATCATATCTGGCACATTAGTGTCACAGTGAAGTGAAGTTGCTATGAAGTCAGCTCTGTACGGCCAGTGAACACATCAGGGCTATACGACCTAGAAAGCTATGAAGAAAACATAGCAAGATAAGTGGTAGTGGTGGTTGTTTTGCGCCACTGAGTGGCCTGTGACTCAAAGCAACCCTATGCACAATAGTTCTGAAACATGTCCTATTCTGAGCCAATCTCATTGTCTCGGATGCCTGTGCCTCTATTACCCCAGGCACAGTGTCAATCCATCTCTTCCAAGGTCTTCCTCTCCTGCGTTGTCCCTTTACCCTTCCAAACATGATGTCCTTTTCCAAGGAGGTCTCTCCTGGCAAGGCTATTTATACTCCTCTAAGGGATAGTCAACAACAACAACAACAGGAGATAGTCAAGAGGTTCTGGTGGTCTAGTGGTAGCACAAAGGCAGGTGGTTCAAATCCACCAGCTGCTCTGTGAGACAGAAGGAGGTACTCTCCTCCTGTGCAATTTACAGCCTCTGAAAACCCACTGCAGGGTAAGTTCCAATGCAGCAGCACATAGCAAGAGGAAGGAGATAGTTAGGTGCTCAATTGGCTCTGTAGTTAAACTCAAAGCAGCTAACCAAAAAGGTCAGTGGTTCCCATACATTAACTGTCTGGTGGGGAAAAGATGGGGCTTTCCAAGATTTCTAGTCATGGAAATGCTATGAAGCAGTTCTACTCTGTACTATAGGGCTGCTATGGCACCCGGCTTTAGGAGACATTCAGCAATACGTAGAAACATTTTTTGATGTCCATCAATGGTGAAAGGAGGGCAAAGGATGTTCCAACTGTTCCCCTCAACATGGAAATATGAGACTCTGAATGTCAACAGTGCCAACGTTGAGAAAACTTAGGTTAGAGCAACATGGGGAGAGGAATGTATGGATGTGTTGTTAAAACAGAACGGACAAGAAAGGCCACTTTGATCAGGTTATGTCTACTTGAATGGAGGTGTAATGGTAGTAAGAGAGCAAATTATATGGTTATCTGGGGAAAGAGATTTCAGGCGAAGGGAACAGCAAATGCAAAGGCTGCAAGGTAGACTTTTATCTGGTAGGTTTACAGAACAATAAAGATACAGTTTGACTTCAAAGATACAGTGAGGGAGGAAGTGAGATTATATTATACAAGCCATAGAATATACTTTGGATTTACTTCCAGGTGTGACCTTAATGACAATTCTTCTTATTCCATTTTTTGCTAATGACTTAAATAGAATATGCTCTGTAAAACCATTTCATAAATATTTTCAGGCTGCTGATCAAATTCATTATGATTCAGGTTAAGTGAATAGGACTTTTAGAGTAAAACAATTTTCTTAAACATTGCTTGTTGCCACTGAGTCATTTCTATCCCATGGTGACTCCATGTGTGCAGAATAGAACTGCTAGTTCTGTTGGGTTTTAAGAAATGTTATATTGGTTTGCATACCAAATTTGTCTATGTTGTGTTTCACACTTTCCTTCATTCACATTGTTTCATACAATCATTCACATATATTGCGCTTTATAAAATTAATCACTATTGAACTATGCCCACCATTTAAGTCTGTGACTTTTGGGAAGCAGATGCCAGGCTTGTCTCCCAAGGCATCTCTCTCTGCATGGGCTTTCCTATTAGCATTACTAGAACTCCTGAATTTTGGTTACTACATGTGATGAATTTTGAATACTATGTGTGATGACCTTTGATCACTATGTTTGATGAACTACTGCGTTCAAGTCTCATTTCAAAGAAAGGTGATCCAACAACAGAATTTAGGAGTTATTTAATACGATCATTAATGTTACACCTAAGTGCAATTCTGCTAAACAGAATTGAAGTCGTTATGATTCAGAACTCAGAAGACAGCGCCTAACTACAACATGGATTGAACTATGTCAGCCTCAAATTGATGTCTGAATCCTGACTCCTATACTTGTGGTTTTCATCCTATTTGGCAATCGTGTTTTCTTCGTTATGTTAATGAGAACCTATTATAGCAGAGGGAGCTCTGGTAGCCTAGTAGCAAAGAGGTGCACTGCCATCTCATTTGGCAAACCAAGAGGCACATGGGTGAGTCTATGGCCTACTCCATGGGAGAGAGGTGAGTAACCCCCTCTGGTGCGATTTACAGCCTCTGAAAGCCTGATGGAGGGTCAGATATGAGTCAGTTCTGACCTGTTGGCAGACAGCACCACCACCAGTGCAGGGTATGTCTTAAATAAATTCACTTTTGAGACATGGAAAATAATAGATTATGCAGAGATAAGGAAGCACAGATGGAGGAAGCCAGATACCATAGTACATGAACACTCCAAGGAACAGTAGCTAAGGATAAAGACAAGGATTTTCCCCAAAGAGCTGCCAGAGAAGTAGCGTTCCCCTGGTTGTGGCACCCTGGTAGCCTTTCAAACATGGGAGAGTGTGTGTGTGGGGGGAGACGTTTCTGTTTATTAAAGCCACATAATTATGGTCTTTCTATTAAAAAAGCATAAGAAACTAAGCCGTTTTAGTTTAAAATCTAGCAATTATAGTGGAAGACCAGGTGACCTGCTTATGGAAAGATCAACAGCTAGAACCCACCAGTTGCCTTGAGGACAAAGATAGTGTCTTCCTATAAAGATTTATAGTCCTGGAAACCCCACAGAGGGTCGTTACAAGGAGGAATCAACTCATTTGTGGCAGGTTTGGTGTTTTTGGCTTCTGTACTTTAAAAACTTCTTCCCCTAAGCTACCTAACGATTCTAAAAATTACTTCTAGATCCTTTGAGGTAAAGCACTTACTTTCCCTAGGGCATATCTTCACTCTCTTTACTTTGAACTTATAAAAATGCCATACATCAAACACTTAATTAGCAATGTGATCATATGTGGAAGTCAATCCAGCAACAACATCTCCAGTCACTCAAAAGAACAAAGTAATCCCGTGGCACTGGCGTAAAAAAATCTAGCAATTCTTGATGGACTAAATGCTTTGGTTTAAATACACTTTGGGTTTAAGCATACTTTTTCCAATGCTTACACCAATCTGTTCCCCGAATATTCTTTAAGAAGTTAAAATGGGTGAGCTCTGGTGGCCTAGTGGCACGAAGCTGCACTGCAATCCCAGAGGTGAGCAGTTCAAATCC